ATATGTGTCATGCCGCGTTAAAAAGAGCTGTGCTATGTTGCGCTGTGGATGACGTCGTCCTTGGCAGCCGAGTCCTGACCGAAATTATCTGTATCTTAAGCTCGAGCTACATGATCGCATAGCTCGCCCGGAGATGGTTGCAATCGAAACGCGCGGAGCGCAAGACCAACTCGAGCTCTAGATCCGATGCGATTTCGAAACGGGACGAACCAAGAGATGGCGAATCCGAAACGAGGCGAAACGCACTAATCATGGTTGGCGGTGCGCACAAGGGGGTGGAGGGAGGGGGGAAAGGCTTCTTAGAAAGAGGCTGCTTCTCAGAAGGCGCCGGCCAGAGAAGGCCCGCGCCTTCAAAGAAGCAGGAGTGCTTCTAAGAAACCCTCCCCGCTCCCCTCACCCCACTCTGCGCGTGGCCGACATGGACGGACCGAAACGCGGCGAACCGAGCCTCGACGAACCGAGACAGGACGAATCGAAAATACGATGAACTCAGACGAACGCCAAACATATCCTATTCAAATCGAGTCAGAAGCTGGGCGAGGGCTGGCAAATCCGAGGCTGCTAAAACGGTTCTCCAGGAAGAAGCAAAAACATCCCAGAATGAAGCTCAGCGCGCTAAATAGTAAACGGGCCACTTCCCGGAAGAAGAACACAATCTCCCGAATTCCGTCTTATCAACCACGGGTTTTGCCAACCTTCGCCCGGCTTCCTATCGAGGAAAGACGAACCGAGACTGGGACGAGCCGAACACGTTTCGGCTCACCCTCCTGACACCCTGGTATCTCCTGCTGAAGAAGTCGCATTCCGAGGGACAGTGCTTGCAGTTATTTCCATGAGTCTGCGCCCCCAGAGCCGCGATCCCTGCGCAGACAGCGGTTGACCCGTGCTGCGCTGAACTGTGGTGCGTCGTGCTGTGTTGAGCTGTGCTATGGGGCCTCCTCCGAATGCGATCGGTATGAAGCATCCTGGGCCGTCCAGGTGTTTCGTTATTCTCAAACTTTGCAAAACAGGCGTTTCGTTATTCTCAAACTCCGCATCACAAGCATTTCGCCTGAGACATCCTCAACACATTATCTGACACAAGCGTTTCGCTGGGGAAATCCTCAAACTTTTAATATGCTAGCCTCCTTCGACCACGTCATTCATCCCGAAAAAAAACCGTTGGCCTTCTTCAATCGAGGCACTGGGGACGGTTTACAAACTAAACCAGAACCCTGGGCCAGAGCCCTTTCCTGGAGGAGGCGGATGAGGAGGAGAGATGAGAGAAGAGGAGGAGAGAAGAGGAGGAGGAGGTTGAGGAGACATAGGAGGAGGAGGAGGAGGAGGAGGAGGAGGAGGAGGAGGAGGAGGAGGAGGAGGAGGAGGGGCAGGAGGAGGAGGAGGGGAGATGAGGAGAGAGGAGGAGAGATGAGAGAGGAAAAGGAGGGAGGCGAAGAAGAAGAAGAAGAGAGGAGGGCCCCTCCTCCCCATCCTCCACGGTAGCGAAAGAGGATGTGTATGCCCTGGGACTCGGCGCATTGGCTCGGAGCAAACTGGTTGGAGAGAAAGGTGAAGGCAAGTGCAGGGCCTCAACGCTGCGAACACGGATGGCCTGACAAGGAGCTTGATATACATCACATTACTCCCCTCAGCATGATTTCACCTGTCCATATTTCGGTAGTCATTCAATCAAGCCCTCGGCTCGCATCGAGGGGGATGCGGGGGGAGGTGGTTGGATCGGGCCGGGTCGGCGATTCGGCAGTCTGGGTTCGCTCGACGGGGGGGGGGAGAGGAGGGGGAGGCACGCGGGGGTGGCGCGATGGGCGCGCAAGCCCGGGGGTCGGCGGCAGGAAGCGCCGCTGCTCAGACAAAAACTGAGGGAGGAGATGTCACTGATGGGATGGACACATGGATCTGCGAGTCGTAAAAGGACGAGCGGAGACGGGGCTTTTCTCTGGGCCGCGACCTCACAGGCACACGGTTGAGAGCACCTAAGCCAAAGTGGCTACACCACGGGGGCGGGGAGAGATCCAAAGGGACCAGGGGAGGAGAACGCACCACGGGCCCTCAAGGGCCTTGGGAAGACAGCGGGACCAATTTTCGTGGATCGAACACCGTCGCCGTCATATATGAGGAAAGCCGGGCACGAGTTGTCGCACGGGCCGCTCTCCTCCTCCTCCTCCTCCTCCTTCCTGAGTTGGCCGGGCAGGCCGCCGGGCCTTGAACTTGCGCAGGGCGGTATGCGGGGCGGGCGCGGGGCCGTCGCCGCCGCTCCGCCGCCGCCGCCGCTGCTCCTCTCC